TAGGGACCTGGCCATACCCAGGCTGGATACCATCCTGAGCACTTAGGCTTTTCTTGTTCTTCTCCAGTCTTCCCCAGCAAGAGCCAAGATCCCTCATGGCAGCCACAGGGATGGGATGCCTGCTTCGCAGACCCTACTGTCTGTAGACCCCCTGCTGACGGATTTGTAGATAGCTTTCTGTGCCTGGTGCTACCCAGTCAGGGAATGCTGCTTCAAGCTGAAGGGATGAGGGTGGCAGAAGGCAAGTCCCCAAGGCCATGTGTACACAAGGACAGCCATTGTTCCTCTAAGGAAGTCCGTGGTGGTAGCAATGTAAGCCCCATCATCCACAGTTACAGCTCGTCAGCTTTGGAACATCCACGGTGCGCTTAGTTTCTCCTAGCCTAAGATATTCGATCAGCTGAATTCAACAGAAATCATCACGGATACGCATAGCATCATATGCATAATAATGACTTTCTGTAACGTAGACGGTGCCAGGGTGTAACATATTCATAGTGCTGAACATTTTCAGTGCTGTCAATCAGGTAGCCCCATGTCCAGGCAAACCATCCTGCCCAAATGGAGACAAGCACAGCGGTTCCAAAGATGTTACGGGAGAAGGGTCATTTTCAGCTGACATGCCTTACCAGAAATGCTGAAGGAACCCCTGAGGACAGGTGACCAAGGCCCAGAACAGCATCCAAACTGGTATCGGGCGCAGGGACAGAGACCCTTGACGAGGGTCACTTAGTACCCTGCCTGCCTTCCTGACTTTCCCGTCATGTGGTACCAGAACCCAGTGAAGGAACTAGACAAATGGTTAATGAGGGTGCATAAGAGGGTCCCCGTTTCTACTTACGAGACAGGAGATTGTATGAATGAAGACCTGTACTTTGGGGTTGGCCTTTCGGAGCACACAGGTGGAACATATGTGTCAATACGTCATGGGTAGACGGAGAATAAAATAATAAATGAAAGGAAAGGACATAACTGCTCCTAGGTATGATGGAGGAGGAAGTCTATTATAGATATGTGGAGGAGGTCGGGACATCTGGGAGAGTCCAGAGTGGACGTGACCACACTGAACTGTATCATGTGAGGAGAGCTGGAAGGAAGAGAGGAGAGAGGGGAACCAGGTGTAGCAGCGAGAAACACAAAGGTACAAAGAGAGCAGATAACCAAAACGGTTGGATTATACAGGAAAGGGGAGCTAGGGAAGGGCAGCCCAGTGGAGGGCGGGGTATGCCAACCAGGAAGGCCCTGTCGCGGGGAGGAACTGAGGGATGCAGGGAGAGCCCAGCAGCCGGGTCCACTTTGGTATGTTAAATACGTACCCCAGCCATTTGGCCCAGGTTTGAAACCTAACAGATTGGATGACTGGAAAAGATAGCGCAGAGGAGGGATCAGTAATAGCTGTATGGTGCTTTTGCATTTTAGAGATTTGGTCTGGACCAAATGGAGATTGGGACAAGCTAACGGCAGATGAGTTCAGTGCCAGGGCTGCCGCTACGAAATAACTGACAGCCACTACATACTGAGTGCTCCTCATCCCTTCAGCTTCCAGTGGGACATGCCACCAGCCCTCTCCTCTGTGGATGACCTCCAATGGATGGAAGCTGGTGGAGAAGCATCCCCTGAAGCTTTGGAGATCTGGGCTCACATGCTCCCATGGAGGGATGGGTGTCCAACCCGCTTGCATGACACCCAGCTCTGATCCGGCCCCTTCAGAACCACAGTATCACTTCATTGTTGTCTTGGTGGCTCTTCTTTTGCCATGACAAAATGCTATGAACAAGGCACCTTATAAAAGAAAGCTTTTGATGTGGGGCTCACTGTTCCAGAGGGTTAGCGTCCATGACTGTTACAGAGAGCAGAGGGTTAGCGTCCATGACTGTCACAGAGAGGAGCATGGCATCAAGCAGGCAGACACGGTGCTGGAGAAGTAGAAGACGGTTTCTATCTGATCCACAAACATGAGGTGGAAGAGAAACAGAGCTAACTGGGAATGGCCTGGGCTTCTGAAACCTCAAAGCCCACCCTCCGGTGACACGCCTTCTCCAACAAGGGCACGCCTCCTAGTCCTTCCTGAACAGTTCCAAGCATTCAAATATATGAATCTCTGGGGCCATTCTCATTAAAGCACCACAGTGGACTTTAAAAACTCCATGTATCTAGACCAACTAAGTCTGTAGATGGGAAAGCATAGATGTTTCCAGAACCTGACCACGACTTCCTTGTACCAGCTGTTGAAGACCTGCTGACAGGCCCCTCAGAGCTTTCCTGAGAAGTGGGATTTCTATCATGGCCACCTAGTAATTTGGTCTTGGCCTCTGCCCCATCACAAACCTACTTCCTTGCTTTCTTTTCCCTCATCACTCACCATCGCCTGACACTCCAGAGAATGTACGTGTGACTCTGACGTCCTCCGTGTCTCACAGAATCAGCAACACGGGTGAGTGGGATTTTATCTCTATTCGCTCTGGGCCAGGGGCTGGGCTAGGCACTGCTGTGTGACACGTTTGGTAAGTACTGCTGGTGGAGAGTGGAGATTAGCACAGGGAGAGTACTTACCCTCCAACGAGTTCAGCAAATCTTTCTCCACCTGTCTCACGCCCGTGTGGAACTCACCCTGAAAGTCCTCTTCATGGGCTCAGGGGATACCTCCATCCTTCCTCATGCCCTGCCTGTCTTGGGTTGGCAGCAAGTTCAGTCTTACTCTCTACTTTGTAAAGTGTTTCCATATTCTGGGAGTTGAAGGAAAGACACACATATGCAGACACTTGGCATCAGTGGCCCCCAAACATGACACTCACCTGGAAGTTCCAGGGGCCACACAAGGGCCAAGGAACAGGAAGCAGTGCCAACTTTCTTTAGAAACTTCATTTTCTGCCCACATTTCCCCATCTCCACAGTCCCGTCAACTATCCTCATTCACACCCCTCAACGGCTTAGCTGTACTTATTTGAAGAGGTGTAAAAAGTGTATCTTAGTCTGTGTTCTATTGCTGTGAAGAGACACCATGACCATGGCAACTCCAATGAAGGAAAGCATTTAATTGGGGCTGGCTTACATTTTCAGAGGTTTAGTCCATTATCATCAGGGCAGGTAGCATGGCAGCACGCAGGCAGACATGGGCGCTAGAGAATGAACTAGAGTTCTACATTTGGATCCACAGGCAACAGGAAGAAACACTGGGACTGGCTTGAGCATTTGAAACCCCAAAGCCCACCCCTAGTAACACAGTCCTCTAACAAGGTCACACCCACTCCAACAAAGCCACACCTCCTAATCTCTCTCAAGTAGTGCTACTCCCCAATAACCAAGCAGTCAGATATTTGAACCTATGGGGGTCATTCCTATTCAAACCACCCCATTCCACTCCCCAGCCCCCACAGACTTGTAGCTATGTTATAATACAAAAATTCATTCAGTCCAACTTCAAATGTCCCCATAATCTATCCCAGTTTCAACACTATTTAAAAGTCCAAAGTCTCTTCTGAGAATCATGGCAATCTCTTAACTGTAAGTCCCTGTAAAATAAAAATCAAAAGGCAGACCACATACTTCCAACATACAATGGCACAGGATATACTTTACCTTTCCAAAATGTAGGGAAGGGAGCACAGTAGGAAATACTGGATCAAAGCAGCAGGACAAAGTCCTCATAACTATGTCTGATGTCAAAACGCTCTTCAGATCTCCAACTCTGTTCAGCTTTGTTGGATGCAACACACTTCTCTCCCTTACACTGGTTCCATTCCCTGTTAGCAGCTTCCCTTGGCAGGTATCCCACAGCTCTGACATCTTTGACATCTTGGAGTCTTCAAGGTAATCCAGGTATCACCTTCACAGCTTCAGGCAAGGGCATCTCTGGTCCTCCAAGCAGGGACACTCTTGACACGTCCTGGCCTCAGCAACTGCCCTTAGTTTTGGAGGGAGAGTCCACAACCCCCTTCTTCTATGCTTGACTCTAAAGCCAGAACCACGTGGCTGAAGCTGCCAAGTTCTGCAGCTTGCTAGAGTTGAAACATGGCCCCCTTGTTCAGTTACATCTATGTCAGTTTTCTGTTGTTGATCATTTCCTTTACTTCATAAGATTTCTTTAATTGCTTTTAATGAGTTGGAAGCTTAACTGGGTGGATTCTTGCTCTGAGATCACCATTCCCTTTATTCTATTTAGCATTAGGTTTTTCTTAAATCTGTTTATCTCCTTGAGCACAGGACTTAGCTCCATTCCACTTCCTGGGGCCCCTTTTCTCCTCAAACTGTATGTTTTGTATTTTTCCTTTCTCAGCTTGTTCTTTTTCATTATAGATCTGCATAAGAGTATCCACTAAACCACACAACACAGTCAATAACAGGCTGTTTTAAAATCTCCTCTGTCAATGCCATTAATTCAAAACTCTTATACTTAGCCTAAGGCAGACTTTTCAAACAAGAGCAAAAAGCAGCCACATTCTTCACCAAGATATCACGAGAATAATCTCTAGGCCACTTGCTAATATTCTTCTCCTTTGAAGCATTTTGGGCCAGGCCATCATAATCTACATTGCTCTCAGCACCACTGGCTCCCCGCTCCTACTAGGCTGGTCCATTAAACCTCAAAACCATTCAACTGCTTTCCTAATCCAAAATCCCAAAACCCGCATTCCCCCAACAAGCAGTGTGGTCAGGCCTGTCACAGAAATTCCCTGTGATAGTGTTCTTAGTCACTGTTCTATTGCTATGAAGAGATACCAAGACCATGGCAACTCTTATAAAGCAAAGCATTTAATTGGAGCTTGCTTACAATCTCAGAAGTTTAGGATGTTATCTTCATGACAACATGCAGACAGACACAGTGCTGGAGAAACAGCTGAGAGTTCTACATCTGGATCAACAAGCAGTAGTAAGAGAGAGACACTGGGCCTGGCTTGAGCATTTGAAACCTCAAAGCCCAACCCCCATAACACCTTTCTCTAACAAGGCCACACCTACTCCAACAAGGCCACACCTACTCCAACAAGGCCACACCTACTCCAACAAAGCCACACCTCCTGATCCCTAATAACCAAGCATTTAAATATATAAGCCTTTAGGGGCCATTCCTATTCAAACCACCACAGTGTATGAATACCATCTTGTCTGGAACCAGAAGTCTACTTTGTATGGATGTAAAATTCTACAGTTGATAGTTTGTTCACTTCCTATCGCTATAACAAAATACCACAGATGGGGTAATTTGTGAAGAGGTTTATTTAACCCCTAGTTTTGGAAGCTGGGAAGCCAAAATGAGTGGTCCCATTTGTTTGGCCACTGGAAATGGCACAATGGACTCACACCCTGCTGTGAAACAGACAGACAGGAAGCCAGGGAGCTCAGAGGTTGGACTAACACCTGTAGTGGAACCCAGTCTCTTCCAGACCAGTCATAACCCCACAGAAATAGCTAAGCCTTTCCAAAGCACTCCCCCAAAGACCAGCTCCTACACTCACCTCTTAAAGATCCCACCACTACTCACATGACCTCACAGGAGGTACAACCTCCGAAACACTGATCTTTGGGCATGTGCTAAACTTCTTCATCAAATCATAGTCACAGACTTGGTTGCTTAGCTTCATAGACCACTTGTGATACGACTTTAGGTTTGGGAAGAGTTTCAGGGCCTGCTGCAGAATTTCATCATCCTTGATAACTATTCCTTAATTATCAGTGAAGTCAAAAAAAGGGATAAAGTCCAAAGCCAGTTTGAATACAATGCTACAAAAGCTGATATGGCCCTACTCCTCATAGTGGGTTCCTGCCTTTCACTAAATGACCTCCAGCTCCCAGAGTCCTCTCTGTCTAGTCTAAGGTGCCTCCTCTACCAGGTCCCTTCTGAGGGTGAAGAATTATTAGAGTCATGGCAGAAATGAATTTCAGCACAGTTGTATATCTCTGGGTAATCAAAAGTGAAGCAGTTCACAGCTTGCTGGTAACCTGGGCACGAGACAACCTGTGTCTCACAGGGCTTCCAGGTAGGCTTCCAGTCCTAGGGCTATCTCCTCATCTTGAGGATAAAAAGGTCCCTTCTTGTAGAGACCCTAGAACAGGCCTGTGTAGCAGTGTCCATGACATCCTACAACTGGTGTTAGTCCTGTGTTACGTCTTCTGGGAGATTATAAACAAGGTGGCCGGCAACTGTCAGAACCAAAGCGGGTGACTGCAGCTCCCGGGGATCAGTGTCCAGACAAGACCTGAGCTCTAGGACCTACAATCTCTAGGAGTTTATAATCTCTAGGGGTGAGGAGGGCCAGTGAGAATGTGGAAACTCTTCAGGCCAAAAGGCTACTGTCCCTGAGAGAACACCTACAGTGGAGGTCCCCAAAAATGGTCAAAGAAACCTCAGGACAAAGAGTTGGCTCCATCCAGCGAGCACAGAGCGAGCAGTTCCTCCTTCTCCTCCCAGCACCACCCCTCCGATGAAGCTAGCAGGGCCCTGGATGTACATCCAAGAACATGGCTGCTGGGGTGTCTGTGCTCGCTAACTGAGCCGTAGAACGTATCTCTTAGAGTGACATTCAATCTTACATATGTGAGTGACACTCAAAAGTGAGAAGAGACTTCCCCTGATTAGACCCTAAGACAAAAAGAAACGCAAATCAATATCGCTCCCAGTTTCACCCCTGCTTGTTGATGGCCTGCAGGAGGCTGGCTAGATTTAGAGGGTTTCAGAAGACCGACAGAACATACAATTAAATCTGAATTCTGCACAAACAGTGAATAGTCTTAGTTCAGGTATGTCCCAAATACTGCTGAGACATACTTACACTGGGAAAATGTTCACTCTGTGTCTGAGGTTGGAACTGGACTGAGTGTCTTGCTCTTTTGTCTATAGTGCAGGGTGAGGAGGGGCCTGGCCCTGAGCCTCTGCAGTCACACAGGTTCCATGAGCTAAACAGGGGTGATGGCTAATGTAACGAGGACCAGGCCTCCCCGAAACCTGCTGTGGCTGCTGGAGCCCACTCTTTTCACACTCCTCCAACCCAACGAAGACGAGGACAAGACAGCCAAACTGCCAGGGTCTTCAACCAAGAGCATACTAAAATGAGCTCCAGAACATAATGAAATAAAATATGCATCCAATACTTGAACATGTATGATGCTCTGCCTACGTGATGCTCTACCTGTGTGATGTTCTATAGGATGAAGGGGGAGGGGATGATGGGAGACTTGCCTTATCTATAGCACACTTAACACTACAGGACTACTGGTTTCCAAGGGGTCACAGACCATGGTCCAGGAGGTATGGGCACCACCCCAAGGCCCTTCCAGAGCACCCCACAATCCCACAGTGTCAGATTCTCCGAGAAGAGCAGAGTCCCAGCATGGACTTCTTTAGCATCCAACATTAGTCCCCAGGTTATCATGTGTGCAAGGCACATCTATAGCCACAATGCAGCTGGCCTGAGGCTTATTGGTGGCATGCTCTTGACAGATGTCTGCATCCCTCATAGCTTGGGGAACTCTGGTCCAGTGTTGCATTCCAGCGCTGGCTTCATCCAGCAAGTTTCCAAAATTATTGGGTATATGTAGGTCACCTCCCTCGCAAACAAGGAGGGACTGGTGGCACAGAGATGGTCTGAGAACACAGACACCCACTACCGGTGTAATGACTGCGTGAGGACTTGAACACACACTACATATAGCATACCTTCACTCAGGCATCCAACACACATGGCATTAGCATGTAAAGACTTGGGCCCCTACCACGTGACGTGACTATATCTGAGTATATACCACATAAGGTGTTGACCAAGGACAGAGGCTGTAGCTGTCTGAGGTAGCTGTCTCCATTCTTGAGAGGAGGCAATGGCTCTTAGCTAAGACCAGGTCATTCTATCCTTTCTACTCCCTGAAGACTCAATAGCTCCAAACTGAGGTCTATGGAGCATGTGGTAACCAGTAAAGGCAGCTGAGGAGGCAGGAACCAGGCAAGGAGGGTCTGGGGTAGACTCCCCCCACAGGGTACAGTCCTCCTTGGGATGCATAAGTGCATGCAGCCCTGAACTGACCAGGAACAAACAAGCCTGCCCTGAAGCATTGACTCAAAGTACCAGGAGATCCATACTGCATGTGGGTTTCTGGCCATCCAAGCTCCTGGTCACGCATGTATACACAGAGTTGCTTTGAGCATTTGTACCTTGTTATTCAATCTGAGGCCTTTTTGTCTCTTTTGAGTGAAATAGGACAAAAGAAATGGACTGCCAAGTCTGTAGGGTCTAGACCGAAAGGGGACACAGCTGCGTGGTGGCCTGGGTGGGGTGAGCACAGGCTGACGCCGGGGTCACATGTCTCCCATGAACTCAGTACACCGTCTTCTCTTTACACAACCAGCTCCATGCTTCCCTCAGACACGCGGCTAGGAGATGAGACACATTCCTGACTTGGATGCAGGGGCTGCCTCCTCCGCAGTGATTCCCTTCATGTCATCTGGCATTTGACCATCTGGGCGCCACACATTCAGGTCCCCAAAGATACCAGTTTCAATCATCTCCTCTTGCCAAGGAATGGGGCAGTTGCCAGAGGCAAATTCTTGGAAGAACTCTGTGTCTGCTTTGTCGAAAACCACACCCTTGACTGTGGAAAAGGCACCCACGTCCTGTATGTTCTTGGCATAGACAGTCCTAGAGTCTGGGATGAATGGAGGGATCAGCATCCCTGGGAAGAAACAGGAAACAGACCAGAGATACCCATGGTGAGGTCACTGCTGAGCCAAAGCGTCCCCACAGACATACAAAAGGCCTGCTGCTCTTCCTAATGCCAACAGAAAGGCTGGCAACCGGAAGCAGCACTCAGAGGTCACAAACTGGATGATGGCCAGAGTGAGCGAAAGATGCCCAGGTCTGGCTACAAAGGTGTGTGTGTGTGTGCGCGCGCGTGCATGTGTGCATATGTGTGTGCACGTGTGCATGAGCACATACGTGGGTGTGTATGTGCGTTTCTAAGGCTGGCCTGAAGTCACAACCCTGCTGCCTCAGCCTCCCCATTGCTGGTTACAAGTCTGATTCACTGTGCCAGCTAGGAAGCCTTTTAAAATCAATCCCAACACTTGCCTCCTCGACCTCCCCCAGACCCTCTCCCCAAAGTCTCCTTGTGAGCATCTTGAAAGCAGGGTCCCTCACGCAATGGCAGCTTCTCTGCAGCCCAGGCCCACAGCTCTCGCCTGGCCCCAGGAAGGCGTCACAATGGCAGATGTCAAACTGTACTCTGCACCCTCCCTCCCCAGGCAGCTTCACTTCTTGACAGAAGCTACCAGACGCAGAGGGCTGTTGTTCTTATAGAGCCCAGGTGTCTCTCACCTAGCCTCTGGCCCTGGCTTCCTCTGAACAGTTAACCCTACCCTGCAACCATGCTGCACACAAGCCACTAATTCCAGCCTCCCATCAGGTCTGCGCTGGTCCAGGCTGGCTGCTGGCACCCAAGTGTGACCTCTTCACCTGACTTTCTCCAACATGCCTGACTCAAACCTCCTGTCCCACTACTCCCTGGCCCCTAAGAAGAATTCTTGGACCTTGGAGCCAGGACCCCTCCTTTATTCGGGGCCTCATTATGAAAGCTCTGCCAAGAACAGTCATCTTCAAGTGAGTTGCTTAGCTCTTCCACCCAAAAGTAACTTCTGGGAGAATCTCCTACCCTCTCTGGATCCTAGCTCATCCTGTAGTCGATAGAGATGTGTCAAAAATACGACCTGACTTCTCCTTCTACCCACAGGTTCCCAGAGGGCAAGGCTATGCCTTATACTCACCCTTGAAAATGCACATGCGTGAGTACACACAGGGGTACGCAGACATGTACACCACAACACAACATACCCAGACATTAGACACACACAGGCAAGTACCTGTGCACACGGGCACGTGATTGTGTGTTCATGCATGGGCTCATACGTGAGCAGCTATACACATGTGGATACACAGGCACATGTACACATATGGCACACACAGCTTCCTATTGCAGCGATCTCATGACAATGTGGAGTACATGAACTTCTCACAGGCAGACAAACTCTGCCTCTCTTGCACCCTTGGATCTCTAGAACACATGGTATGTAAGGGAAATGCCAGGAAGCAGATCTTCAGCTTTATGTTAAAGATCTGGCTTGCTACCCACGGCTCCCACCTGACTTCAACCTGCCTGACCCCAGTGCTAGTCCTGGGATACTGGAGATGAATGGAGGGCTAGATGGGCTGTCAGAGGCTACCTGGGGGTCCCGCAAGTCCTCGGCACAGTCCACAGCTGAGCCCATGGATATGGTGGACCGTCAAGGGTCACACAGCATCACCCCCTAAGCCCGCTCAGACTTGTGGTGCCAATCATACCGGCTTCAAGCTGCCTCCAGCTGATGTCTTTGAAGAGGATGTTAGCCCTCAGTGCATCGCAGGTCCCATCCCGGAAGCCCAGGCGCTTCTCCGGGTCCTTCTCCAGCAGCCTCTCACAGAAGTCCTTGCTGGCCTGGCTGAACTTGTCTGGGTAGTTCACGGGCTCTGAGATGATTCGCTGCTTGAGTTCCTTGTTCTCTACCTACATGGTGGGCAAACGGACGGCTTCACTCCAGCCCTGGCCAAGCCTCAAGCCTTGGGGCTTCGTCTCACCCTCACTGGGGTGACAGTGGCTGCTGGTGCTTTGGTGGCCCCTCCCAGGTGGCTTGGCATTGAAAGGCTACTATCTCAGGCCAAAGAGACAGAAGTCCCGAGGTGAATCCCCCAGCCACACTTACACAGCTAGTCCACTGCCACGGAACCGACCAGCAATGAAAATTGCTTCTGGAAACCTTGGCTGGGGAGTCTTACTCCTGCCTTACACCTAGTCAGCTTTGTTGTAGTCTCCCAAACAAAGCTACACACACACACACACACACACGCACGCACGCGCGCACACACACGCACGCGCGCACACACACACGCACACATGTGCACACACGCGTGCTCGCGCGCACACACACACGCAGTGCACGATGTACACAGTGTGGCTCTCTCCCCCAGATACCCCCGTTGTAAAGCCGATGCCTCCACCGTCTTCTCTTGCGGGCATGGACAGACAAGTGTAGCCTGTGGAACCTGAGTGAGTGTGCTGTTAGAGCACAGTTTGCCCGAATGCCTGTCACTGTGGAGGCGGATGAGCCTGAGACACTTCTCCGTGCTATCACACGACAGCACAGAGCTGCGGGCTCAGGCGAGGGCAAGGCAGCAGTAAGCAGGTGGACTCTGTCCCTACTGAGACCTAGGAGACAGCACCTGGCTCCTGGCCCAAACCAACCTCTGTGTAAACAGGGAGCAGGGAGAGTGTCTGGGGTGGCTGTCTGAAGTCCCAAGAGCAGTGGCCTAGTGGCCACAGTTAGCTAGGGACCCACCAGTGGCCTCCTTTGTGGAGCCCACCCCCAGAAGGACCTAATGATAGACGTGGGCTCTTAGCAGGGAGAAACGCCCAGTCAGCTAGCGTATGTTTGCTCTGCCACCTGCTGGCTCTGGTGTGGAAAGACAGACTTAGACTCTCTCAACAGCGCCACCTACAGGTCTCAAAGACAGGCAGGCCTTGGGACAGGACATCACAGAAGCGGAGCCCACCCATCTGTGTCTGCCCCAGAATGGAACCCTTTGGGGCTTCCCGCCAGGCAGTACCTACCTTCTCTCCTCGGGCTCGGAAGGGTCCTCTAGCTGCGATCATCTCATACAACGTGACCCCCAGGGCAAAGTAGTCCACAGAGAAGTCATATTCTTCACCACGCAGGAGCTCAGGGGCCATGAAACCTGCCATCGCGAACATGTGCAGATTTATAGATAACAGCTGTTTCCCCACAGTGTGGTCCCTGCCTAGTAACCACAGGACAACGGAAGCTCTCCTGGTGCTCCTTTGTTGCCATTGAAGGACACTGAACATAACCCCGGCTGCTACCCACTGGATGCCCACAGCTGTAAAGACCAAAAATGTTTTCCAGCATAGCCAAAGGTTCCCAGGGGCAGGATTGCCAGGGTTAGGTCTCTCATTCCTCTCGTGGTATCTCATGCCTAGTGTGTGACACTGAAGCTTCCTTTCCCCTCCACTCAGACTCAGGACAGCACAAAGCAAAACAGTGCTCTGCGTGCGACTCGTGGGGTGGACAGATGCAGATGGACCTTGCTGTGACCTTCCGACCCCTCTCCTCTCACAAGGACACGCAAGTGAGACCTGTGCCCCATATCCCAGCATGGGCCAGTGACCAGGTGCTGTGGCCAAAGCCCAAAGAACGCTGGTGAGGTCACAGTTCGGTGCCTTCTTCAGACACCTTCTTTTAGTGCCTAGAGTGAAACCGCAGCCAAACTCCCCCGCGCCCCTGACGTGTGCGGGGCACACCTATCCCACTGAGCCTTCCGTGATGAGAAGTAAGGCATGGAACAGCCTGACAATGAGGAGGGAACCTGTTGAGGACAACACAGACGTGAGCAAACAGTGCCACAAGTCCGGCCTCACAGACGCTGTCTGATCGAGCAGTTGCCACGTGGCCTTCTAGACAGACACGCCCTTCCTACTCTCCTAGTTGGCCACTTGCATGGAAGTCTCAACCCCTGTCACCCACCACACGTTAATGCCCTGAGTCTACAACACAGCGTCTAAACCGTCTCCTCCCACTCGTCTTTGGACCAGTGGGAGGATTAGCCCAGATGATCATTGCTTCTGGAAGGGGAACTATTAACTGTGTTCCTGAGCCACGCACGGCACTTCTCCACTCCCAAGATACCACCAACGCTCACCCAATGCCACTCCCAGTGGTGTCGAGCTGAACCCTGACCGTATCACCCTTTGCCTTCCGGAGTTTTTGCAAATACTGCTGCTGCAGAGCCAGCACCTATGAGTTATTGGATGAGGGAGCAAGTGGATTTCTGCGTCTCCTGTAATGAGCTCATCCCCTCATGGCAGGAAGGGGAAGACAGAGGTGCACCTTTCCTGTATCCAGAGGAAGAACCTCCCCCATGCACAGCCGGCAGCTGTGGGCTGAGCTGGGCGTCTGCAGAGTGGGAGAACTGTCTAGAACAGTGATTGTTGGTTCCTGGAATAGCAGCTTCTAGTTTGCCTCCTAACTCAGCATTTGCAGAGCCCATATTGAAGTCCCAGCCAAGGGATTCCCATGTGGGTAGAGATGCCGCTGCCTCCACCTGAAGGGTCAGATGCAGCAAGCTCAGTAAGGTGGTGGTTGGGCAGGCAATGGCGCCCTCTCGTGGACAGTTGAGCCCCAATACTTAGTCCGGAACAAGACCAGTTTCTGGTCCTAAAGTAACTTCTTCTAATCTTGCTTCAGTGGATCCAGGACTTGCAGTGGACTAAAGAGATCCAAGTGAAGTTTGGGCTAATTCATGAAAACAGGTGCAGCCATGTCTTCAAGAGACTGTGTGATGGCTCCAAGCCAAGCTGTTTCCAGAATCCTTTTGTCAAGTCTCCTTCACCTGCACAGGACCATCAGCACCCACCAGCAACCAAGACCCAGGCTAGACAGCCGCCATGCCTCCTGAGGACCAGTATGGATTTGTCCTACCCAGAATGTGGGGGAGCTCTTGTCACCCGCCATGGCATCAGAAACAGTTTCAGATGGTACCTGAAGTACAGGGTCCTGGTGACACAGGGACCTTTCTGTGACACAAAGCAAGGTCCTATCTCCACTCTGTATACATCCCAACTTGGGTTCTGTCTGAAGCCAGACAGCCAAGGCAAGAAGGAAAATCCCTAAGAAATCCTGCTGGAAATCAACCTGAATACGACAATCCGGGATGTGGAGACAGGAAGGACGTGTCTACGGCAGGCAAGCGCCAGGTGTATAGCGTCACTTAACAGACTCATAAGCCTGTGAGGTAAGCGTTAGAAACAAAGGCTCTGGCAGATCGAGCCACTAAGCATGGGCCTGGACCATGCACCTACTCCACCTGACTCACGTCTCTTCTCCCCTCTGCACTCGCTGCCTCTCTCCTTTGCTCTGAGGAGGATGAAGGAAGATCAGTAACAGAGGAAGCCAAACACAGACGGCCACAAGTGTGTATGCACTTAGACGTGGAAGCATCCGCAGTCACACATACATGAGCGAGTGTGCATGTACACAAAGCATATGTGCACATAGAGATGCATGCCCATATATGCACAGATACAGGTACAGAGCATACACACAGAGATGCCTGCACACTTGCACACATGAACACACTCATACGTCCACCAATTCATGCACGAAATATGTACATATGCAGAGGGACATACAGACATTTGAATGCACAAAGACACATTTGTAAAGATGCATACACACACATACTTGCAAATATGTTATATGCACACAGAGACTATCATGAATGCATGCATACACAGAGGTGCCTTCATACACACACATGCATGTATGCACAAAGAGGGAGGTGTGTACCTACATACATGTACAAACAGATATGCACAGATGTTCATAGATACACATGCATGTACAGGTTCATGCTCATCCACACATGTATTTAGACATAAAGGCATCCATGTTCACATGCAGTCATACCTACAAGACATACAATTGTATATACCACATGAAAGCAAGCATACATGTGGGAATGTGTGTTCACACAGGTATGCGTGTATGCACACAGAGACACATGTGCCCACCCTGCATAGTGGTGGCACCTACCAGGGTACTAGAAAGGGCTGTCTGAGGAAAGTTTCTGTCCCCAGTGCTCTGTGATGTGACCCAAACAGGCTCCAGCTCTCCCATGAGACACCCTAGATAAACTCATTCTGTCAATGCCCAAGAAGCCACTTAGTGTGCAAGCCCTGTATTCTCTCTACCCATCAAGGTATCAAAGGGGCAGCTTTGCCCTAGAAGGTGAGGCAGTAAGCCAGTGAGATTCCTAAGGTAGGGTAGAGGTTGTCACGGCAGGGAACAAATAGCTCTTGAGCTGCTGGGCAAAACCCAATTATCACTTGTTTGTTCTGGGGATAAGGGAACCACAGTCCACAACCCCCAGTCTTTGTTACCACCTTAGATCTTGGGGACCCTGCTGTCTCTGGATCTGGGAGAGAGAATGACCCAGGCCTCTTCCTGGGTGCAAAGCCTCTCTAGGCCCCTCCTCCGATGCTGATCTTACCTGGGGTCCCTGCATAGCCCTTGGTCTTATTCTGCCCCTCCTTCAGCTCCACAGCCAATCCAAGGTCAGAGATTCGGATATTGCCTTAAAGTAAATATAAGCTGAGGTCACACACATTCCACAGAATAGAGGTGCCAGGTGAGCCCAGGGCTTGGCAATGCTCCCTGCACAGTAGAAAAGCACACTTCACATGTTCTATGTACACACATACCCACACTCTATACATACCATTCCCCACAAAGACGTATCATGCACATGATAGGCAAACTACACGTACCTTACACATAACCATGTAACGCCTGCCATATTCAGACAGACAGACAGACACGCATATACACTACTGTCCTTTATACCCTAACACCCACTAGGTTCCTCTGCAGTGATTTTCAGAGAGGCTGAAGAAGCCATGCTTTGGGCCCCTCAGGCCGCCGTGGCCTCCATCCCTCCAGGGGCTCACCATCATTGTCCAACAGCACATTTTCCGGCTTGAGGTCACGGTAGACAATGCGCCTCTGATGCAGGTGCTCCAGGCCACTGATGATCTGTGCTGTGTAGTAGATTGCTCGTGGTTCTGGGAAGCCAGGGTTCTCCTCATCCACATTGTAGATGTGGTACCTGGGGATCGAACACCATGGGAAGTACACACACCTCAGGGCAGTAAATGCAGAGACAGAGACAGGGTCTCAGGGCACACACACATCAACACAGAGTGGTCACCTTGGGACCAGGAATCAATGCTCTCCTGAAGAAACCAAGGCTAGAGGCCTCAGATAGCTCACACCTTATCCATGACTGTTAGAGGTCATACAGCTTATTGCTTAACACCTCCTTCCTTCTGACCCCAGAGCAGTTCCAGGGCAGGGCCAAGGGAAGTGAGTCAGCCCTACTTCTTTAACCCACACGCAACCCCCAACTCCCTAAGTAAGCTGTGATCTTCACTGAATTCGACAACAGCACTTCCTTCGCAGCCACCTTCTCCCAAGGACCCTGAAGTTTGTCCTTCTTTTGCTTTCTTTCTTGTACGTGCCAGATCAGCACTTTACAGGGAAGCAGAGCTCATGGTTGAAGGACATGAATGACATAAGCGACAGGGAGGGTGGGTGCAGACCAGAGGCCCCTGGGAGGGGAGGATAGAACAACCTGCAACGCTAGAACCGCTAGCATCCCTTGCAGCTCTCTTCTCCTTCAATGGGATTCTCACACAGACTGGTTGTCTAGACCTCATGTTACTTATCTGAAGGAAAGGCTTGAGCAGTGCCGTAAATAAAAACAGAGGAAGGCAGAGGCATGGGCATTGCAGGTTGTAGCTCCCTTGAGTGGAGCCCTCCATTCCCAAGGCACCTCAGGGTCTCACAGAGTTAGCCTCATGCACCAGCTACCCAAGAATCTCATCATTTTAACCTTGTGTGCCCGTTACCCGGAAGGCCCCACCACTTCCCCTCCTGAGACTGTCTTGGTCATTATTATTTGTCTCTATTTTGCACAACAGGAAACTGAGGTAAAGAGTGGTGAAGCCACCAAGTCAGTGAAAGCCGGTCACCTGACCTCCCCAAGGATGCAGGGAAAACCTCAGAGCACCATCAGGCTCGGCCAATCCAAGCACCATCAGGGGTGGCACTCTTCCATGTAGGCAACAGGCAAGTTGGCTCTATCTTCCAGCTATCTGTCCCTAGAGGACTGGGCACTGATGGAATTGTCAATTTTTATTTCTTAGTCCTCTCAACCCATCACAGCCATCCACAGCACCACACGCCCCTGCCACCTGTCCCCAACAATCGTGGGGATACTCAAGAGTGTGCAGTGACAGATACAGCCTAAGTCCTGGGGCCCCACTGGACATGAACTGGTTACCTAGTTGAAACTAACCCCAGGTTTGGACACCGTTACCTTATGTCACCTCCATTCATGATGGTCATCACCAGACAGAGGTCAGTCTTGGTCTCGAATGCATAGGCCAGAGACACGATGAACGGGCTGTGAACTTTGGCCAGAATCCTCTTCTCAACCATGGCACCCTGGAAGCAGAGTTGTGATCCTCAGTCCTCGGGAATGCGCTGTGGAGAGCAGCCTGCACGCTGGCCACAGCACAGGGCAGGCTTGCAATGTGTGAGATCTGGCATTCATTCATTCATTCATTCATTCACTCAGCCTTGGCATCCACCCTCCCCCTGCACCATGCTCGCTCCACCATGGCCTGTATCCAGCTAACTCCCGGTGCAGCCCAAGTTTCCAGTAGACCATGCTTTATTGTTCATCTTTATTCTACGCATCCGAAAGTGTGGAAAGAATGAGGCCGGTAGGCCAAGCCGATTCATTCTGCATGTGCCCCACCAAGTCACTGGAGTCAGGAAAGACTCAGTGTTGTACTGGGTTGCATATAGATGTGAGCAACCCAGAACCCAGGTTACAGGTCCATGAAACTGGAGTTGCCTGTTTTTGAGGCATGGTCTCACTATATAGCCCTGGCTTTCCTAACTCTCCACGTAGACCATTGAACTCACAGAGATCCGCCTGCCTCTGCCTCCTGAGTGCTGGAATTAAAGGTGTACGCCTCCACACCTGAGGATAGAGCCCTTCCTTAAAGACTAACGTTAGTCCACCATGAGGTGCGGTCTCCAGGGCCCTGCTGAAGGAACCTGGATTTGTCTGACACCCCCACTTGCTGCTTGCACCTAATGTTTGACCTTTCACTGAAGGCTCAGGGACCTGCTGGGTCTGGTGTCCAGTCTTAAGAGTCTCACAGCATTAGCTATACTGTACGGCAGGGCTGTGTCCCTTGGACAATAAGCCGCTTTCGCTGATCCTGCCTTAACTAGACACTGACGCCAACAAAGAAGGAAATAAAATACTGGCAGCCTGCCTATGTCCTCCAGTCATTCTTGTCCCCTGGAAACCTGTGTTCAGGAAGAGTAGTCTGGCACGCCAGCATCACTAATGGGCTCTGCCTCATGTAGACAGTGCCTGCCAAAGTGATGTTCGGCTGACAGAGTCCCCCCTTACATTCCCCTGTATGTAATCACAACAGGAACCACACTTTGGGGAAAGGTGTCTAGATAGCCAGATGCATGCTCCAGACAGCGGCTGTCTGCAACTGGCTCTCCCCCTGAATCTGCTCCTGCAGATTGCCAATGGCTGTCAGAGCTGGGGCGAGGGGGGGGGTGTCCAAACGGCAGGATGCACGCACAGTAGCTAAGGCCTACACAGAGCTCCGCAGGTGGGTGCCCGGCCAGCATCCTACCATGCCTCTGGTCCCAAGAGCGTCCTCTGCTTGCCGGGCTCCCTCCCTACCTGGTAACCCTTCCTCTTCTTCAGACGCTTCTTGTTGAGCTTCTTACAGGCATACATCTTGCCGGTCGCCTTCATTTGGCAGGCGGACACCTCCCCAAAGCCCCCTTTCCCCAGGACCCTGAAGTCCAAGAACCAGTCTTCGCCTATGGGCTGGGCTTCCAGCCACTTCCACTGGAGGAACCGCAGGAAGTACAGGCTTTCCAGGTACTCCTGGAAGGGGGCCTGGCTCAAGTGGTCCAGCGTGGCCTGCAGCAGAGGCTGGAAGAGGCCATCCTGGCTTCCCATTGGCCCTTCCCTCACTTTTGCTACCATGCCCTGGTCCAGAAAACTGCAGAAGAGCGTGGCCTGGGGGTCCAGGTAGTCGGCCAGGATGGCCTGTGCCTTCTGCGGCCGCAGGTCATCATCGGCCGTGTCATAGTCCTCAATGTCCTTCCAGAGCTCCAGGGCTGGCACGTGCCTGTCATCTGTCTTCAGGAACTGCTGGAAGAGCCTCTTGCCAATGGGTTGCTCTGAGCACAGGCTCTCAAACTCCAGGTTGAGGTTGTCACGGAGACCCTCGCACTTGGACAGTGGGGGCAACCGGAGCTTGGCCAGATACTTCTTGTCCCGGGAAGAGGAGGTGCTGCTTCCATCAAAGCTGCCACGGGCAGCGATGAAGGCAGAGTTGGCCACGACAGTCTCCAAGGACCCGAAATCCATCCCGATGATGTCTCGTGTCCACCTCAAGCGTGAGGACCCATAAGCTGAAGGGACACTCAAGGCCCCTGCAGCCAAAGCAAGCCTGACCCTGTGCCCTTGGCCTGTGGCCTGTGACTGCCCTTGTGGGGCTTGGGAAGCATGCAGCTGTAGCCAGGCTGCTTGGGGAGCCACTGAGAAGCCAGTGAGACCAGGGCTAACAAGCATCTAGCTAAATCCAGCCCCGGGGTCAGTGAGGACACCTTAGGGGTGACCAGGCAGGTGCCATAAAAAGACAATTCCCTAAGCCGCTCCAAATCGGATTAGAGTTCAGCTCGGCTCTCTCTCCCTCGGCACTGCCTTCGTGCTCCCAAGGGAAGGGCACACCACAGACTCCTGGAAGCCCCTGGGGAGCAGTTCTGTCTTTCTCCAGCCTTGGCAGGTACACAGGACCCCTCCGTGTCCTGCTGGGACATGGGTCTGCGACAGAGGGCAGGCAGTCCCAGGAGCAACCTCCATGTGTAAAGATGGTTGTCTTCCACACCGTTTTATTTCTACCCTTAAGAGAGCCGCAGGAGAGAATCTGCCCAGTGGCCGGTTTCCCCATCCGTAGGTGAGACCATGGACACTTGATGGCGATCAACTCGTCTTCTCCTTGGAGAATTGCTACAAGGTGGCTAGAGGGCAAACACAGGGCGCAGGGGAGCCCCAGACCATCACACCGAGTCCCCTGTCAAGCAGGGAGACTCACGAGGCACGAGCCTGGGATGCACCTAGGACACAGGGACTCAGGTGGGCAGACCTGAGACAGATTGGAGATGTCAGGGACACATCTGGGGCACACCCAGGACTAGCTTAGACAGTGATCACATCCAGGCCACACCTGGGAATGGCAGAGTCAATGGGCATGTCACCATCTGCTGGGGAATCACAACTGTCGTGCCTGTAGGGGCTCCTGGCAATCTGAGGAGGAGCCGCAGGGAGGGAGCACTTTCCGGGAAGAGACAGAGAAGTCCTGCAGAATGAACCAAAGCCCGAGTCAGGAGGCTAGGGTGGCGCCCAGCAGAAGGGTGCTTCAGGTGGGGACAGGGTCTCCTGTTGTGACTGTAGGAACCTTCTGGTGAATGCCAACCCCCTCTTCCACCTCCACCTTCTAGCAAGGGCTTGTGACAGGAAGACTGGCAAGTAAATATTTGAGGTAAACAATATCTCACTGTCCCCAAGTGACCTGAGCTAGTCCCAGCCCCGCCACCTAGCAGCTGGTGACCTTGGACAGACAATATCTGATTCTTGCACCAATCGGGACCAAAGGGGACATGGTTCTCAACCATGGGGTACCTTGCCAGCAGAGCCACACTGAAATCCACATTCCACCTGCCTCGGAGGGCCTGGCAGAGGAGCTCAGGCCTCCATGGCTGACAGGCTCCTGAGTGGTTGACCAGACCAGGAGAGGGCTAGGGCTGAAGAATTCCAGACTGCTTTCATATACCAGGAAGGCCTCTTGTGGAAGGGGCTGAGGAGAATTTGGTGACCAAGGCAGGACAAGTTTGGTTCCTGGCCCAGAATATTCAGATAGAGGGCCAGGGTATATAGTGTTTCCCAAACTCATCTCTGGGCATCGCTGTTCAGCTAAACTTTGGAGGAAACAGCAGAGTACATATAGCTGTGGGGTTGGTAAGGAGAGGGGAAGAAGGAGAGGGATCCCTAAAGTAATAACTCCCCCAAATCTCAGCACAGCATCTTAGCCGGTATCTGACATGACCAATAGACTCAGGCGACCCATGGCACCAGGACCCTTGAGCTGTCCTTTGTAGACAAAGCCTTACCCACACCCTCAGTCCACAGAGACCCACAGGCCTACTCTCTGGGGTCACATTGTACCACTGATAGGGCGCTGTGTGAGCGTAGGCCCTTTGGACACTGTGTGAGCATGGGCCCTTTGGGGGGACTAGCTTTTCCCTCTCAGGGAATTCTCTAGAAGTGGATGGCAGGTGCCCACAGCTCCTTTCTTCTTGTAGCTAAATATTGTTCCATGCTCTGTGTAGATGCTCCCTGGTCAAACCAGGCATCCAGAGGATGATTTTGGAATTCTTTCCAGGTGTGGGCTGTTAGACACAAAGCTACTGTACACATTACTGTATTTTTGTATGCAAATTTCTACTTCTCTGGGATAAATAGCCAAGAGTGTAAATCTGGGTAGCGATGGGTTTGCTCTGAAAACAACTGACAGACTGATTTCCAGAGATGTGCCCATCGTTAATTCCCACCAGCAGCCATTAAAGCCAGACACCCACATCCTTGACAGGACTGGAAGCTTGTTTGACCACCTTGCCCTGATAATGTTTTTCGTTAGCATATATTAGTTGTATAAAACGAGTTTCACTGTGACATTTTCACACACGCAGAATGTATTCTGAACATATCAACCCTATTACTCTCTGGTCTCCCCTCCTCTACCCACCAATTTCCTTCCCAAATAGTTCCCCCTTCTATTGTCACGTCTCTTGGAATATCTTTGTTTCTGTTTTATCTCGCTTCTGTATCTGTCAGAAAACACGTGTCTTTCTGAGTCCGCCTTATTTCCCTCAACATGATAATACCCAACTCTGCTAATTTTTCTGAAAATGGTTTCTTTGGTCTTTGTGGGTTTTTACATTTTTACGTATTTATGTATTTTTAAATGTATGAGTGTTCTGCCTGCATGTATGCCTACATGCCAGAAGAGGGCATCAGATCCCATTATAGATGGTTGTGAGCTGCCATGCGGGTGCTGGGACCTGAATTCAGGTCCTCTGGGAGAACAGCCGGTGCTCTTACCCACTAAGCCATCTCTCTCTCCAGCCCTGGGTCTTTGTGGTTTTAGTTTGCCTTTCCCCAGGGTTTAGCCATACAGAACACGTTCCTACAGGCCAGTGTGCCAGCCAAGCCTCCACTTTGGGTAGCATTGCCAGTACCCTCCTAGCGTATTCTAATCGTGGGGCTGTTTTTTTAATCACTTACTCTGAAGCACCCTTTGCATATTTCACATGGTGCTTTTCAAATGTTGTCTCCAGTGGCAACATGTCTTTTCATTTATACCTGGACTTTCCCCAGCAGAAGTTGTTCTGTCCAATTTACAGATTTCTTTTTATACATTCCTTTCTTGGTATTGAGTTTAAGGGCTCTTAGACTAGCCCTAGATTCAAAGACTTCCATCCATGTCTTTTCTTGAAGGTTATAGTTTTCCATTTACATCCAAGTTCATGACCCACTTGAGTTCATTTCTGTAAAAGGTGTGAGATTTAGTTGAGGCTTCTTTTTCTAATGAAATCCAACTACTTCCCACCATTTGCTGAGATGTAAGGGTGGAAGAAAGAAACCAACTCTACAAAGTTGCACACACACACTGACACATACAATACACATACACATACACACATTCTATAAACACACACAATAAATACACATACACAAACACACATTCTATAAACACACACAATAAATATACATACACAAACACATACTATAAACACACACAATACTCATACACAAGCGCACATTCTATAAATACACACACAATACACATCCACAAACACACATACTATAAACACGTACACAATAAATACACATACATAAATGCACATAATATAAACACACATACACACTATAAACATACACATTATAAATACACACACATTGCAAATGATGAATATTAAAGCCTTAAAATTTTTACATAAAAAAGCAGAGTTTGCAATAATTTGGGCCAGCAAGATGGCTCAGTGGGTAGAGGTGCTTGCTGCCAAGCTGGACCCCTGGGACCCAAATGGTGCAGGAGAGAACCCCCTCCTCAAGTTTCCCTCTGACTGCCACACACATGACATGGGACATATGTGACCCCTTCCCCAGTAAATAAATAATAGTGCAATTTTTAAAATGCAAGAAAGGATGATCAAAAGAAGGCACTGGTCTCTGCAAATACCACATTTCCTCTATCTTCAAAGACACCATCACATACACACACACTAGTTTCTCTTAGGGTTTTGGGGGTTGCTAGCAGAGGAGACTGGTTGAACCAAAATTTACAAGTCTAATGAGTCATACAGGGAAACACAGGCAAGGATAATGGCCCCTGACACAGACATTCACTTCTGACAAGGTGTAATACAGAACAAAAGGCGTCTACAACAAAGCAGATCTTAAAAATCATGGAGTCATAAACCTTGTAAACAAATAATCTGCAGTTTTACTTTATTAACGGAAGACATCATTGAAATAGTATATGAAAGCCTAATGTGCCCATGTTTTGTTTTGCATGAGATCTCAAGGTGAAAAAGCTTTTAACACACTTTGCTTCAAGACCACCATGGCCAGACCCAGGGTCACTGCTGTACTGTGTACACACACACAATACAGAGAGAGAGAGAGAGAGAGAGAGAGAGAGAGAGAGAGAGAGAGAGAGAGAGAGAGAGAGAGAGAGAGAGACCATTAATTCCCTTGATTATCTCTCTCCTTGCAAATGACATCATTTTTTTCCGTGTATGTGGCTGAGGAGCAACCCCATCACGTACATTCTTTAACCATTCCTCTGCTGTCGAACCCTTAGGCTGCTCCTGTAACTCAGCTGTTGTGAACACAGCTGCAGTAAACACAGATGTGTGAGCATCTCTGGGATGTGCTGACTTAAGAGTCCTTGCGTAGATAACCAGGAGTGGTGTAGCTGGGTCATATGGAGGACCTCCTTTAAGATACCCTTTTAATGTCCTGTGTTCTCTCTGTGGTACCTGCTCCTGTTTAATGGAAGGGGTGGTAGAGGCAGGTGCTGTCTTGGGTCTTTCCCCTCCTTGTCTAAGTCCAGAGGAAATAGATTCCTGGAGTCATTAGAGGTCACATCTCATCATCATGGAGCCTCCCTTCCCAGAAGCCTGTGTCCCTGACTCCTGCTGACAGTCAGCGGATTTCTCAGGCCATCTATGGGTATTTTGTGCCTCGTTTGGAAATACGGCTTTGCATTCACCCATGGTCTGTCTCACTGTCCATTTCCTGTTTCCCAGGGATCTGAAGCTGACATGGCTTCAAGGAAGTTCTTCTGACTTCAGCTTGAAAAGGTCCAAGAAGTGCCCTAAAATTTTCCTACTTCTTTCCAACAGCCAAAGGCAGGGAGCCCGGGAGCCTACCCTAACACAAAACCATCGCTGGAGCCAAATGAGGAATAGAATAAGGAGAACCAAGATTCCATTTGCTTATGGCTCAGGACTGACAGACGGTGGCTAGGCTCTCAGATGCCTTCACAACCCTGTTTGCCAGTCCCCAGGGGGGCTTGGGTCTACATGTGCCAACTCTAGCCCCACAGGTATCTTTGGTTGCTTACACATCCAGGCTTACAAGCAATTTCCAGACCCTGCACATCTGAATCCACATCCATGTGGCACCTTTAGGTTCATATAAGACTGGCCCCGAGTTGACAGACACTGTTGTGTCCCTACGCATAGGCTGGGGACCCCCAGGTTGTGTGATCAGCTAGAATCTGCCACGGCCATTCACTTGGTTTTAAAACCCCTAACATTGTAAGTGGTTGCGTGCCAAAGAGAATGAGCAGGACTGGTTCACTGAGAAGTTATAAGCATCCAGTCTACAAGGATGGAAACCCATCTAAATTTTAGACTGCTTGCAGACAACTAAATCATACTGGGGGAGGGGCACAAAATAAAAGCCACACGGTTTTTCAGGGTTGCTCTTCTACCCAAAGAAGCCAGTTTGGTTACACATTCACTAAGAGGGAAAGCCTGCATAGATGTGACAATAGTGAGTTTCCAGTGGTGACCGTTCACATGGGCCAGGCTTTGTCCTAGGTACATTTGAAAAGACGCAGAGCCCAGCCCACTTCCTTGGCCAACTGTCTGCTTTCAGGAGTAGACACCCAGCCAGTAAGACACTGCTTTCAACTTGACTTGGCTGCCCATTCAGAGCATTTGGGGAGCTCTTCCCATGTGGTACCCAGGACAGCAGCAGAGGGACACCCACGGAGCGCCCTGTGGGGACAGGCATCTGGCATCCGTAGCCCTCGTGCGCTGTCCACAAATGCTCTTGCTTTAGACATTTGCAGTCTCTCCAGCCTATCAGAATATGAGAAACACTCCACCCAGCAATTCCAACATCAGAGCCTCATCAGCAAGAAGCTGGGGCGGAACAAACCAAACCCAGGAGCACCTCCAGACCCCAGGAGTGGGATTCTCTCAGCAGACACAATGAATCTTTTTTTAACACTTTTTATTATATATTTAAATTAGAAACACGTATGCTTCAATGTTAGTCCCAGCTCCCTCTCCCTCCCCCCACGCCCGCTCCCTCCCCACCAGGCCCCCACCCCCCCACCCAATCCCAACTCCATTCCCCAGGGAGGGTAAGGCCCTCCATGAGGGATCTCTAGAGTCTGTCATTTTGTTCCGGGGAGGGCCCAGGCCCTCCCCCAAGTGTCCAGATTGAGAGAGCACCCCTCATTGTGGGATGGGCACCCAAAGACCATTTGTGTTCCAGGGATGAATACTGATCTACTACCCAAGGCCCCATAGATTGCCTGAGTCTCCTCACTGACACCCACATTCAGGGGGTCTGGGCCAGCCCCATGCTGGCCTCTCAGCCATCAGTCTAAGGTCCAAGATCTCCCCCTTGTTCGGGTCAGCAGACACAAGGAATCTTAACGGCACAAGGGCAGGAGGACGTTATCCTCATGCAGAGGCTGGAAGACAGAGTCCCTCCCTGACGGCGCCTCCATCTTGGCTCACTGCTGTTCTTTACCGGTGCTCACCCCTCCCCCCCCGTGAGTCTGCGCTGAGCACCATCAGCAGCTGAAAACGCTTGAGAAAGGCACGGCTGTAGGGCCACTCAGGCAGTTGTGGGCACAATTCAGGCAACTTCTCCACCGTCCTAGTGAGGAGGGGAGACTTAAGGAAGCAGTTCGAGGACCCAGGGACCTGAGTGGTGGGGCAGCAGGTCTCAGGCCTGTGACATTTGACCTGGGATGAGCCAGTTTGAGTCTTCCCCCCAGAAGGAGAGATGAGGCACAACCTGGAAGGCTGTTCGTACCAGAAACACTTCCCTTCAGTTTCCACCAGGGCAGGTTAAGTTGTCAGCCAAGGGCGTCGCAAGGACCAACTGACTTCTGGGACAGTAGAGGGCAGATATCAGGCCAGCCCCAGCCCTCCCTTGTGTTTGTAGAGGTGATAGTGCGGACTGATAGCTGGCTCTGATGCCTTTGGCCTTATGCAGAGGAGACTATAAGCCCCAGAGGACACTTCCTGGGTCCAGTCCAGGCAAGCAGGAGAGGACATGGCGGCCCTGCAGGAGAAGAAGTCATGCAGCCAACGCATGGCCGAATTCCGGCACTACTGTTGGAACCCGGACACTGGGCAGATGCTGGGCCGCACCCCAGCCCGGTGGGGTACGTGTGGGCCGTGGGAAGGGGGCATGGGGTGAGGCAGGGGCCAGCAGCCAGCAGGACCCAGAGCCTGCCGGGGCACCTGGGAACACACTTCAGGCCATGCCTCACCTCTCAGGAGGAAGCCAGAGTCCCTAGAGGGTCCCCAGATGGCCCTGAGGCTCAGGACTCTACAACACCTGCAATGCAGGTCCAAGACTGGCCCCTTTTCATCCTTGACTTTGGAACATAATTTTAAAGCTCTTCCTGAAACTAATATTTATTTTTTAAGTTATAGCAAGTAAAGGTAGTTTCTTGTTCAGACAATTTGGGAGACAGGGGTTTACTTCAATGGATTTGTTTTATCATGACGGTTGCCATGACTTTAATGTGCTGGGCATGTTGGGAGATCTCCCTGGTTCCCAGGCTGCATCTGAGATGCCCTGTGCCACTGTCACTGTCAAGTGTGGGCTAGGTGAGCTAGGTAGATATATCTGCAGAGTCCCTTTCTTATGGCTGCCCCGTGGTGACCTGGGGACCCTTCCTTCTGGGGCCACCATAGGAACAAAGGAGTCCTCACAGACTGGAAGACTGTGCGGCTGTTCAGGATATCCCCTCACAGAGTACATCCTCCACAAAACAGGACGTACCCCTCAGACCCCAAAGAGTGAATCTCTCTCAGGCTCTCCAGGACCCATGACATGGGAGTTACAGACAGAGCTTGGAGGCATGCAGCGAGTGTTTTGCAAGGCTACATCACTGGGGAATACAGGATGTATTATGCCACCTTACCCCTCAGACAGCAACGTCAGGCCCTATCCCTTGGGGTTCCCACGGAGGTCATACGGGGGATACAGCACAAGGCCCCTCAGGTCTGTGCACAGAGCAAAGGCTCTTTTGGCTGACCATCTACCACCACCCATCTCAGGGCCCTTGAGAAGCGAGATGAGAGCAGACTCCCAGAGGGTGGTACCTAATAACCCAACTGTACGACAATTCAGCTAGCCTCAGCCCAGCTTGAGTGTGCTACCACATGAAAAGCGCACACCGTTCACATAGAAGGAGATGGGGCATGCCCTCCTCAATACCCTGAGGCCTCCCGGTGCCAGAGAGGACCCCTGGCAACACAGGGAAATTACCATCAGCTGCAGAGCAGAGAGGAACCAGAAAGACACCGTACATCAGTGAGACACACAGAGGCAGGGCTGGTACTTGAGCCCCCCCCAGGAAGAGGGTCACATGAAGAAGGGACAACAGATGGGACCCAGGGGGGAGATGATGGCGCTGCCCGCTCTCCTCTCAGGAACCTTAGGTGGCAGGGCTACTCTAGCTGCCAACGCTCCGGCAAGCCTCCTTGATAGCTACAATGCCACTGAGAACTTCCTGGAATGGTTTCACAGCCTGACTTGAGGACTTGGCCTCAGTGTCTGGGGATGACAGTTGCAGGGGCTGAAGAAAGCATTGTTCAAGTGAAGGGACGAAACAGGAATGGGGCAAGTTACTCCTATGGGGAGAGGTGCACGCAGTCTTAGAGGAAATAGGGGCTGGAGACCATAGGCGGGGAGCAGCAGAAGTTTCAGTGGCTTGGGCCACACTCTTTCTCTGTGTGACATGGAGCTCTTACCACCCATAGCCCTCGAGTTGTGAGATTCCATGGCGTTGCCTGCTTGGGGACCAATCCTGATAGTGGCAAAGTCGGGACCCTTCATCCACACCCGGGAGTTATCGAGGCCTGACTCACACCTATAATAAGCTGAACAATCAGGGAGAGGGCTTGTGAGGCTGGATGGGCCAGCAGCGAGCAAAGCTGAGATTCTACCTGCGGGCACTCAGGTCCCAGGAAGGTAGATGAGTTAGACAGAAGCCACAGCAGGTAGGAACCTGTAGTGACCATGTCAGCCCTGCAATGGGAAATCTGCTGGCCCTTCCTGAGCATGCTTGACACCCACCCCTGTAGACCATGAGGTTAAGCAGGTGTACAGCCCTGGCAATCCTAAAAGCACAGGGTCAGACCATCGGACACTACAACATCCAAACCCACGTACAGTACCTGGTGTCCATGGAAACACAGCTCTGAAACAGGCCACTGCTGTGCTGGCCCTCCATGGAGGCCTTGAAGAGAGAGAGAGAGAAAGAGAGAGAGAGAGAGAGAGACAGACAGACAGACAGACAGACAGACAGACAGACAGACAGACAGATAGAGACAGAGACAAAGACAGAGACACAGAGACAGAGAGAGCGCAAACTCATAGCTGTGACCTCCCCACCATATCTTACCCCCACTGACTCAGTCCTGCCTTTTAGCCCCATTTTGGGTCACTAAAGAAAGACTTACTAGGAGGAAGCCACACCTACATCATGCATTTGGAAGGAGCAGCCCACATTCTTAGAGACCTCCCCAGGAAGACCAATGCTACAGCCATCACAAAAACCCTCTTCTGACCGGGTGTTTCTTAACAGTGGCTCCCCTGGCTAAACCATTGAAAACACAAGTGTGGGGGCTTCACGGTAGCCCAAGTCAAAGGCCATGTCCCAGAGGGGTGTGGTCCCCTAGCAACTGACTCAAAAGGAATGTCATCAAAGGAGTCTTCAGGAGCCTGGCTCACGCCGGGGTTAGAACATCTCTTTCCACTGATGTTTGAGCAACAGTGCCAGGAGCCAGGGAGCTGGGCCTGTCGGGCATGCCTGCCAACCTTCTCTGTGGGACACAGGGCAAGTACCTGCCAGGTCCTCAGAGCACAACCCAGACATACTCAGCCGTGGCCCTGCCCAGTCAGACCGTGCACTGGGGGTCACTCTGGCCAGCAGCTGCCTTCTCTGCCTTTCCCTTCCTGTAGTGTGGGAAGCAACAGGAACTCCGGGGCACGGAGCATGCTCCGAGGTCCCGCTACTATGGCTACAGATACAGTGGTCAGTGCACCAAGCACGCATAGTCACCGCTAATGTGCAAGGGGGTGTGACAGGAGCCCACACAAGGCCATGAGCATACCCTGAAGTTCTGTTTGTATGAGGGGGGGGGACAAGATCAGAGATGGCGTGGACAGTGAGCGCCAGCCCTCAGCAGTGAGGGTAAGAGGGTGTCAAAGGGCTCGGGTATTCCCCTCAGATGAGAAAGTTCTGGAACTCAGTAGAGGTGCTGATGGTGCGGCGTCACGACTGTGCTCTGCGCTGGAGACGGCAAACGCAGTGGGCCTGTGCCATGCGCATTCCCTCAGCTGGGGCTGCTACTTCCAGCTCTCTCTCCGCAGTGTGGATCAGCCTCTACTATGCAGCTTTCTACGTGGTCATGACCGGGCTCTTCTCCCTGTGCATCTACGTGCTGATGCAGACCATCGACCCCTACACCCCAGACTACCAGGACCAGTTAAAGTCGCCGGGTAAGCAGCCTGTGGCTCTTAACCGCTGAGCCATCTCTCCGGCACCCAGGTGAAAAGCCTTTTTCTTTTTTTCCCCCCATTTGAGACAGCCCTGGCTATCCTGGACATCTCTCTATGTAGACCAGGCTGACCTCAAACAGAGATCTACCTGTCACTACACAGGCTCATGTGTTCAGATTCCTTTCTCCGAGAGACCCACCTGCAGGCTATGAGGGGCACTCCCCAGAGGCTAGCATTCACCACACAAATCTTGCTCGTGACTCCCCCAGGCCCAGACTCCCCTGTGGAGCATGCATCACTATTGCTGGGCCTGAGTATCCAAAGTCTCAGGCACAGGATAGGTCTTCATGCCCATTGTGCTACATCTGCAGAGGGCAGAGGCCATGGGACCTGTGTCCTCAGAGTCCTTGGGGGCACTTCTCTACAGTGTTACTGCCAAGCTTTCTTGGCTAGAGGGTGCCTGTTCTGTAGCTCTCACCTAGGAGGGTGAGAACTGGTTCCACTCCGGATGCATCTAACTGTGGTTGGGGCTTTTACGAGACTGGACAACCTCGGTGCTCAGGGCTCAGTAGAAGTGAGCGCTTGGAGAAACCGATCTAGATGCTCTTTCCTTCCAGGGGTAACCTTGAGGCCCGATGTGTACGGGGAAAGAGGGCTGCAGATTTCCTACAACGTCTCTGAGAATACCTCCTGGGCTGGCCTCACACACACCCTTCACAGCTTCTTAGCAGGTGGGTGACGCAGACGCAGCAATGTGTCTGTCTCCTAAGAGGGTCACTGGGGACTCGGGACCTCCTCCACGGACAGCATGGGACTGGCTGACGAGGAGGTGTGTGTGGTCCACAGGTTACACCCCGGCATCCCAGCAGGACAGCATCAACTGTACCTCTGACAAATACTTCTTCCAGGAGAGCTTCTTGGCTCCAAACCACACCAAGTTCTCCTGCAAATTCACTGCAGACATGCTGCAAAACTGCTCAGGCCTGGTAGACCCCAGCTTTGGCTTTGAGGAGGGAAAGCCCTGCTTCATTATTAAGATGAACAGGGTGAGTATCAAGGGCCCCACTCTGGAGGTGACTCTGGAGTGGTAAGAGCCCCCTCCTCACACTTAACCATGGGGCCTGGGCCCTGTATCGTGCCTCGCCCTGACTCCATACTCATTCATATTCATCATGTTCAGCTCTTAAACACAAATCTAGAACTTTCTACTCAGACATTGTCTTACCAGCCTTATAACTGTGCAAATGAAGCAGAGATCTCCGCCAGCAGGGGCCTTGAGTCGTAAATTCAGACTGGGAGAACTTGGGGACATCTTACAAGTCTCCTTCTGCCCCAGAAACAGGAGTCTTTGAGGGGTGGCCCTACAGGAATCACTGGGCTCCGGTGGCATCTGAAGTCACGGGGCAGCAAGTGCCACCAATGCCCTAAGAACAGACACAGCAAGCAAGAGGCAGACATGAAGTCAAGCTGAGTGACACTCAGGCAATAGAGGCTCAGGGTCACTGCTCAAGACAGTAAGTGGCAGGCAAAGACCCAATCGGCCTCTCACCGCCTATTTCCATTTTACAAAGTCTCAGAAAGCCACACACTCATGCACCGAACCCAGCACGAAGCCCCACGCTGGGAAGGTCTTCCCAGAGTTCAGGAGACAATGGCCGAGGCTCAAACCGAGGGGAGGAATATGGGAGCGGTGGGTAGACCCATTCCGCAGCAAGGAAGGCTGCTACACATCACCACAACACACCTGAACGCAGTGCCAGTGACCAGGGCCGCTCTATCCCAGCTCTGCCGCTGCCAACGGCCCTCCCACACCGCGGTACCGTGGGGGAATGGCTCAGATGCGTGTGTGAGTACCCACTTGGCCACCAGGGGTACATCACAGCTTTTCTTCTAGATTGTCAAGTTCCTTCCCAGCAACAACACAGCCCCCCGAGTGGACTGCACCTTCCAGGTGAGCACAGCTGGGGCTGGAGGAGGGTGGGACCCAAGTTACCCTGGGCACATGCCAAGGTCACCTGTCAGCCATTGCCTGGAGCGACGGCACAGAGGGGTGCTGTAGCCGTGGACTCCCCCACATGAGGTCCGTGCGGTCAGTCACCCACACTTCAGAAAGCTCGACATGCGGGTGACCCAGCACCCTACTCCCACACCCTCTATAGTTTTTATTTATGAAACTATTCCAGATCACCAACAGCATTGTTGCTTACTGGGGCTTAGCATAGCTACTCAGGTGGCATTAACCTCAGGGAAACCCTCTTACAAAATGACTAGGTACAACAGCGAATACTAAACTTGCCTTCACTAAATGTTTTCCCAGGCTTGTTTTCAATGTTGAGTCCTAACTGACACGTCAAAGGGACTCATCCGTGAGTGATGCAAGGAACACATGTCCCCGCAGAGCTCTGTCCCTAGGGCCTCAGGGGTTTGTTCTGCACTTTTTTAATGGCTTTGGCTACACACACACAAGCCGACCTTCTCTGAGAGGTCATTGTTCCTTGATGAGCGTAAACTACCCATTGGGCAGGTCTGACTCCAACAATGAAAGGAAGTAGATCCCAGGAACATGTGTTTACTCCTAATCCAGAAAACTGCACAAATCCTGAACCTGGCTTTGGCAAATGGAGCCCTTGGTCTCCCCAGCTTGCATCTCACAAGCTAACAAACAAACAAACAAAAAAACCAGCTTCCCCAATCCCATCACTCACCCAAGACTCGAAGATGGAGTAAATGGGGTGGGAAGTGGCTGAGGTTTGGCATTTTGAGGAATTATATCCTTGAGAGGCTCTCAGCCCTGACTAGCTGACTAGGTGCTAACTCTATTGCACTAACATGCAAAGCTTTGATGTGATTACTGCCATGCTACCAGTCCTTGCCACACAGTACACACATAACTCACACGTGTACCTGTACACAAATGAACATGTGCCCCAGTGCTTACTAGACTCAGCTGTGGTCTCCACCTCAGGATGATCCCCGAAATCCCCGGAAGGACACTGAGCCCCTACAGGTCGAGTACTATCCACCCAATGGCACCTTCAGTCTCCACTACTTCCCCTACTATGGCAAGAAAGCCCAGGTAAGTCTGTTCCACTCTGCTCCAATGCGCTTGCTAAATTACCTCAGACTCAGCAACAGGAAAGCCATTTTCTATAAAAAGCAAGGCAAAGGCAGAGCAAAGTACTATATACCTGTAATCCCAGCACTTGAGAGGTGGAGGCAAAGATCATTTGGTCACACAGCATGTTCAAGGCCAATCTAGGCTGCATGAGATTTTTATCTTGAAAAACAAACAAGAAACAAACAAACAAAATGAACTCAACAAAGGCATGACTTAGCCAGTCCCAGACACTTTTTTAAAAAATATTTTATTTATTTATTGTGTATACAGTCTTCTGCCTGCGTGCCAGCAGAAGGCACCAGATCTCATTCAAGGTGGTTGTGAGCCACCATGTGGTTTCTGGGAATTGAACTCAGGACCTCTGGAAGAACAGTCAGTGCTCTTAACCTCTGAGCCAACTCTCCAGCCCCCAAGACACTTCTTTTATCCACCTAGAAATGCACCCCTCTCAAAACCCACGAATGTCAACCTGACTCCCTTATGGTGTGGGATCTCCCAGGCCCTCCCAGCATCTGTGAATCCCTCCAAAGCATTTCCTCCACATTTTACTTTCTCCCATTTTACTTTCACATCCTGTTTGCCACCTGGGGCAGAAGCCAGTCTCTCTGTGACCCCAGGGCTCCTTTGGGCCAAGCAGGCCTTACCTCAAGACAGACCCACAGGAGAATCCTTTATGCTTTCCCCCCCCACACACCCCCACACCCCCACACCCCCACACCCCCTGCTTCTTCAGATAGCCTTGTTTTTCTTAACATGTTTTTTTTCCCCAAGCATCTCACCCCTGTGCTTCCCCTTCAGCCTCACTATAGTAACCCTCTGGTGGCAGCAAAGCTTCTCAACATCCCCAAGGACACAGAAGTCATCATTGTGTGCAAGATCCTGGCAGACCACGTGACTTTCGACAATCCCCATGACCCATATGAAGGGAAGGTGGAGTTCAAACTTACAATACAGAAGTAAGAAGCTGGAGTGGCCGTCCACACCTACGGAGGCCCAGCTGGCCACTCGCTCCTGACTGCACACCCTCCGCTGGCCAGTGTGCAGAGCCATTCGAACGGCTCAGCGCTAACACCACTGCCCACCTGCTGACACCAGGAGGTGCTCCTGTCCCCCACTCCCCCTGAACGTTACCAGCTTTCTACTAAATTCCTATATGTTTGCAATCCAGCTGTAGCTGCGGGGTTAACACAGGAACCCAGAGTCCTGTAACCACGGAAGAGACCCCAGAGTGGCCCACCTGTCGCTATTACTGCTCTGTGATCACTTGTCTTCCCTGAACTTCAATATGAACTGAGGATCCATATCAGTGTAACACTGGTCACCCTGGCATGACACAGTCCCAACTTGTGCTTCTGAGACTACAACCCCTATGCCATAAAAACAAACTATATCAAAGCTATTGTGTCTGGAAAAGTCATGTCTTTCCTGACCCTGAAGGAAATTTTTACTAAGAACCAAGTGCTCCTTTCTCTAAAGCCTTTCTATGGCTCCGATCACAATACAGGTGTCCTTGGCACCTCAGCCACTGGGGCAGGCATCTCAGAGGTGGGGTAAGGCACAGGGAGGCTCAGAGAACTCCCCACAAGCAGCCTGCCACTTTGCCCACAGACCTAACCCTGTTGCCACCAACAGTCTCATCCTCCAAGCTTTCAAGCCCTTCCCTTCAAGATGCTCACACTTCATACTGCCTCCCCCCCCCCGCAGCAGAAGGTCAAAAGAGCTTGTATTTGTTTTTTCCAAGCTGAGACAGAGCACAGCTCGGGAGGACACACACGCACACGCACACGCATGGTGCATCAGGTGCGGGGCTTCCCAGGGTGTGGGACCTAGACACTTATTTACACAGACCATTCTGTGTGCCCCTTCCATGCTCCACACCCTGGAGGATATTTTAAAGTAACTCAAGAGCTGGGGGAAAGGGTCGTTTTCATTTCCGTTAGCAAGCAAACAGCTGTTTTCAGAAACACCCACTGATTTGACCAAGTCAAGTAAAACATCTGACACCATGTCTTAATTGGGGTTATTATTGCAGTGGTGAAACACTGTGACCAAATTTGGGAGGAAAGTGTTTACTTGGCTTATGCTTCCATCTCACTGCTCGTCACCAAAGGAAGTCAAGACAGGAACTCAAACAGGACAGCATCCTGGAGGCAGAGCTGATGCAGGGGACGTGGAAGAGTGTGGCTCACTGGTTTAATCCCCATGGGTTTCTCAGCCTACTTATAGAACTCGGGGACGACTCCACCCACAATGGGCTGGACCTTCCCACATCAATAACTAATCAAGAAATTGTACCACAAGCTTGCCTACAGCCCAATCTTACGGAGGCATCTTCTCTATTGAGGCTCCCTCCTCTCGGATGACTCTAGCTTGTGTCAAGTTGGCATAAAACTAACCAGCACAAGTGACCCCTTGTTACTTCCCACATAAACACATCAACATTAAGTCACAACTTTTCCTCTCATTCATCCCTGAGATCCCGCATTAAAAACATAATTTCAGAAGTCCCACCGCCTTTATAATTTCAGACATACTAAAATTCCAGTGCCTTTAAAATGTCCAGTCTTTAAAAATCCAGAATCTCTCTCTTTTTTTTTTTTTTTTTTTTTTTTTTGGTTTTTCGAGACAGGGTTTCTCTGTATTGTTTTGGAGGCTGTCCTGGAACTCGCTCTGTAGACCAGGCTAGCCTCGAACTCACAGAGATCCGCCTGCCTCTGCCTCCCAAGTGCTTGGATTAAAGGCGTGCACCACCAACACCCGGCATAAAATCCAGAATCTCTTCAAAGTTCAAAATCTCTCACCCGTGAGTGGTTGTAAAAATAAAAATCAAGTTAAATGTTTTCTTACTTCAAGAAGGAAGAACAAAGGCACACTAACAATCAGATCAAAACCAAACCAAACTGCCAACAGTGAGTAGTCTGGGATCTACTCGCAAAGGGTCACTTCTCCGGCTCTGCTCTCCGCAGCACACTGCTTGTCTTCTAGGCTCTGGCTGGCTCCACTCCATTACTGCTACTATTCTTGGTGGTCATCCCATGGTCCTGGCATCTCCAAAATGCTGGTGTCCTCTGCTGCAATTGGGCTGCCCTTTCAACAATGGGCTCTCTTCATGGTGCCAAACCTCAGTGAACACTTCAATTCCAGGCCTTCAACTACCATGGCGGCCACACCTTCTCCAATGGCCTATCCTGGATTCTCACAGTGCCAAGTCTCAGCTGCTTTTCATGACCCCTTTATCACTTCAAAACCTGCACCACCTGAGTGGCTCTTACACTACCAAATTCAGTTGCAGCAGCAGGTGCAACCTTGGCCATCATTGGAACACAGTTTCTGTGTGCTGACACTGAGGAACCACTTTCCAGAAGATTTCACCTTGGTGGTGCTGGTCTCTTCTTAATCACCAACAATTACTCAGCTCCAGCTGACCAGCATCTATTGTCCCAGTAAAGAATGGGTTTTACTTTACTGTTTCTGGTACCTTGTTAATTACAGCTGATTTTTCAGCCCCAGCTAACTAGAACCACAGATTCTTAACTCAAAAGTCCCAGTAGTCTTTGCTTCCCTCTGAACCTTCACAAGCCGGGCCTCCATTGTCCTCAGTACTCTCAACATCCTATCTTCCAAATCCCTACAGGACAGCTCACTGAGCTCCCAACACACAATGACTTTTCTAGCCCAAAGTTCCAAAATCCTCCCATAATCCTCCCCAAAATAACATGGTCAGGTCTATCACAACAATACCCCACTCCTGGTACCAACTTGTCCTAGTTGAAGTTGCTATTGCTGTGATGAAACACCATGACCAAAGCAACTTGGTGAAGAAAGGGTTAATTTGGCTTACACTTCTACATTGTAGTCCATCACTAAGCAAGTCAGGACAGGAGCTCAAACAGGGCAGGAACCTAGAGACAAGAGCTAATACAGAGGCTGTGGAGCGGTGCTGCTTACTGGTTTTTCCTCATGGCTTGCTCAGCCTGCTTTCTTATAAAACCCAGGGATGACGCCACCCACAATGGGCTGGGCTCTCCCCCATCAATCACCAATTAAGAAAGTGTCCTACAGGCTTGCATGCAGCAGTCCAATCTTATGAAGACCTTTTCTCAGTTGGGTTCCCCACTCTCAGATGATACTAGCTTGTGTCAGTTGACATAAAACTACCCAGCACAGCCTCTTTCATGCCCGGCTGTCTTTCCTTCCCACCTAAAATTTGCCAGTTGGCGTTTTTAGGGAAGCCAGGGATGTCTGCTTGTTCACACAAGGCATTGTCCTCATCTCCCCACCCAGACACTGTGCCCACCAAGCACTAACTACCCAGACCCAAGCCCTGACAACCTCACCACCTTCCGTCTCTTTGAGTCTACTTTGGGGTTTCACATGAGTGGGACCACACAGTATTTTTTTCTGACTGGCTGATGTAAAGACTCTCAGGTTTTATCATGTGTCAGAATTCCCTTCTCAGTCAGGACTAAAGTTTTACTGCGGGTGTAGACCACATCTTGTAATGTATGGCCTGCTTACCGCTTACAATTTATGTAACTGGTTGTTTGTACCTTTTTGTTGCTGGTGACCAATGATGCTGTGACCACAAGTGTACAACTGTGTCTTCAAGATCTGCTTCCAAGACTTTGCACATATACCAAATTCTGTTTTCAATTCTTAAAGGATAGACTACCTGTTTTCCACTGAGGTGACTCTGTTTCCCGTCTCCATCAGCTGAGAAACTCAATTTCCTACATCCTACCCAACATGTATGTGTTGTTCAGGTTTCTGTTGCTATAGTAAATGCCTGGGATAAGCTCTTTTGTAAAGAACAAAGGTTCATAGTTGTGGGCTTCAGGTTGACCGGGCTGATTACTGCCTAACAAATATCTAGTAGGGGCACTATATCATGGCAAGGCATAGTGAATAAATCTACTCACATCATGGTCAGGAAGCAGAAAAAAGTCTCAAATTCCAGGATTCTGCTTAAGGGCAGGTCCCCCAAATGTCCTAAAGACTTCTCACTAAGCCTCACTCTTTTTTATCTATTTATGTATTCATTATGCATACAGTATTCTGCCTGCATGTATGTCTGCATATCAGAAGAGGACACCAGATCTCATTATAGATGGCTGTGTGCCACCATGTGGCTGCTGGGAATTGAACTCAGGACCTTTGAAAGAGCAGTCAGTGCTCTAAGCCTCTGAGCCATCTCTCCATCCCCTAAGTCTCACTTCTTAAAATCCCCCAACTTTCCAAAGTGTCACACCAAGAAGTGGCCTGTATGGACCTTGGGCTGGGAACAGGGCTGAGGTGGTAGCATCTATCCAGTTTGCACAAAGCCTTGGGTTAGAACCCCAGTATATATAAACCCGGTGTGGTACACATGCTTGTAATCCTAGCACTTGGAAGTTGAATGTGGAAAAAAGTCCATGCTCATCTCCAGCTATATAGCAAGTGACAGGTGGTTGTGAGATGCCACGTGGGTGCTGGGAATCATATCTGAGTCATCTGCAAGAGCAGCCAGTGCTCTTAACCTGTGAGCCATCTCTGCAGTCCCTTTAGCTTTTTAGATGGCGTTTAGTCAACCCAACTTCATTCATTTGCATACAGGTACTCAGTTCCCCAAACACCATTTGTTGAAAAAGTCTATCCCTTCCCCCACTAGACAGTCTGGGCATCCTTGTCTTCATCAAATCTGTGGCTTTTCCCAGCTTTGCTAGTCCAGTAGTCTGTTTGGCTTCCTGCCCATACCACTGCTTGATTACTGTGGTCTTAGCAGTAGTAGACTTTGGAATTAGAAAGTCTGAGGACTCAAAGTCTTATTTACTTTCAAGATTGTTTTGGGAATTCAGAGTGAGTTGAATTTGGGGTGGGTCTTCCTACACCGCAAACTCCATTATTAGGGTTTGGGTAAAGATCCCTGCAGGATGTTCTAACAGTATTATCTTCTAGACCACAGCAATGTGTTTTCATTGCTGTCTTTTGAAATCTGTTTTGTAGATTTCACTAAGTCTTTCATTTCCTTGGCTAAGTCAGTTATGAATAATTTTGTTATGCAAATGTAAATTTATTTTCATTTCCTTTTCAGATTTTTCTGTCACTTTGCCTTTTTATTTGAATGTGAAATGTCCTCATCAGGTTTATGTATTGAATGTTTAGTCTGCAGCTGGAAAGACTACTTGGGAAAGTGATAGTCTGGAGGTGGAGCCTAGCTGGAGGAAGTAGGTCATTGGGAGCCATCCTTTGAAGGTTACAGCTGATCCCAATCCCACCTATGTGCTAACTTCCTGTCTGCCACAAGGTAGGTGGTCTCCCCTCCAGTGTCTGACATGATGCTCCACTTTATGAGGGCCCCAGGATCAATGGAACCAAGACTTACGGGTTGAAATCTCTGAAGCCAAGCCCAAATCATCTACCTCTGTGTTATCCTCTGATACTTTGGTCAGTTTGATCAGCTTGAACAACTTGAACAAATCTGAGGATCAGCT